AACATCCATCCATCTAAACATCGCATTTATAATATTAATATGAAGTATAATGTATTTACTTTATACGATTCTGCGAATATGTGGTAAATGCCCGATTCACGAATAAACATTGACCTTTACAATTACAATAACAATTGAGTACATTACCACTAAAATAACTAATTATAACATTAGTGTGTTTGATGTACAAATTTCGTTAAATCAAAATCTACAAATCTAGACTTGAAGTCGATTGATTACGCACTGACCTAAGTTTCTTATGAATTAATTTAAATAATAACATATCGAATTATTTTTATTTCAACAAATTAAAAAGTCATTATTATTAAAAATAAAAACATAACTTTCTAGAAGTTCAAAAAGTACCAATAACAGGACAAAGGAAAAGGATATAAAATATTTAATATCTGTTGTATCCTTTCACTTTGCTGACAGGTGTCGTCCCCCTTCTGTAAGAGAATATCCCAGTAGCGCAAGAAAAATATGTTGCATTTTTAGAGTTTCTTTCTCGTGGAATAAACGACCTAAAAGCGACTGTACAATTTTATATGAACCCTTAACGTGACCTCAAGACAGTTAAAACAGAAAGTAATGTATGATACTGTAAGTACAATTTGTATGAATACATCTTTTGTATATTTTAATGTAAATCGAAAAATCAAGCAAGTTGTCTCTCTGATAAGCGGATTATTCCTAAATATTTTTTTTATATTTACCTCGATTGGGTTGATAGAATGTTCTTACGTATTTTTTAATTAAGTTCAACTTAAGTCTTGGATTAATTTGTAGTTCATTAACATGTTACATGTAATTTACTACGTCATTAGATTAAGTCTCGAGGTGGAGTGTAACGAGTCGCAGTTGGCAAGGGACGGGGATCGTCGCCCCTTCGATGCCCCGTCTCGGCAGTCTGGAGCAACGACCGTCGGCGTCGCCCCAACTGAATGACATGGAGTTTTTATACGACGTCGCTGCACCGGATATCACCCCCGCAAAACCGCTCACGAAATTCTTCATAGATGCTTCGGTAGAGATTATATACCTGCTTAACTTTAGGTAGTTTTGAGTACAAAGTATCATTAATATTGTGAAGGATTAGAGTACAAAATCGGTTATCTCAATAAGTAAATACCATCATACTGTCAAATTGTGTAAATGCCATTTCGTCATTGATCTTAACAATGCTGATAATAAAAGCAGATTACAGTTATGTGCCAAATGTAGCATTAAATGTGTTAAACGAACGTTGAATAGCTCACTTTATTCTATCTGTAGGCATTCAATTAGTTATCAATGCAAATTAAAAGGCGCTTTAATAGAGCGTTCGCGAACGATGACGCCATTCTAGGTACTAGACGTGAGCGTTATTTCACGTCACTAGTTACAATCACCTGTGACGAGATATGTAACGACGTCACTAGCTTCGAGTCAAATTAAAA